CAAGGTGACGTGACCCCTGGAAACTTGAGAATTTTATAACTTGTTATAAAACTCTAGGCCCTACAAAATGTCTTCTAGATGTCTTCATTGGTTGATTGGTTTGGTAGCAAGAGGGAAAAATAAGCTTAAAAATCGGCAGCCACTGGCAAGTTCCGTTTAGTCCACGGGCTGATTTTGAATGGCGCTGCCTGCCTTCTTCCCTGTTTCATAACCTAGTTCAAGTAGCATGGCTAAGTCACTGTAAAGCAGATGACGAACAGGGGCTCTGAAAATGCCACAGACAGGTGAGGTCTGGCTGACAGCAGGACCGGTCAGAGAAAAACATCGAGTTTTACAATCAGGTCAAAGAAAACGACTCCTGTCACCTTCTTGTCTACCTTTCACTCAGAAGCAAAACATAACAGAAATGCCCAGCTGCTTAAAACGGAACCTTAACTACAAATTTGATAGCTGAAATCTGAAAATTGGCGTGTGTTTTGAGTGCTCACAATGTACCTGTCTGGGGCATTCTACATGTGCATCCTCTCGTTTTAATTCCCACAGGAGCTCGATGAAGCAGGTACTGCTGTGACCCCCATCTACAGGTGAGGAAACTGAGGCAGGCAGAGCATACTTGCATCTCCTGCCCAGAACCCGCACCTTTGCCACACAGCACTTCTACCTGTGGGATGTGGGACCTCAAGCCAGTGCCTGACAGCTCTGAGTCCACGCCTCCTTCTCTGCAAAGCAGGCATGACCCCGTGGGCCCCACAGACCTCATGCAATTGTGTCAAGATTGGAGAAAAGAAAATATCCAATAACTGATCACACTGTCAGACGTATAGAGGTGTCCAATAAATGTTAGGTTCCCCTTACCTTTTTTTTTTAAATGTTTTTATTGATTTTTAGAGATAGAGGAAGGGAGAGGGATAGAGAGATAGAAACATCAATGATGAGAGAAACATCATCGATCAGCTGCCTCCTGCACGCCCCCTACTGGGCGGGATCAAGCCCACAATGGAGGCATGTGCTCTGACCAGGAATCAAACCGGCGACCTCTTGGTTCCTGGGCTGATGCTCAACCACTGAGCCACACCAGCCGGGCTCCCTTCAGTCTCAATCACAGCAAAAGAAGATCAGAAACTTTTTGGTTGTTAAGCAACTGACTATTTTCCAAATTGGCTAATAATAAACCATGGCTCCCAATCCTGCCATAGTGGCAAGTGTAGCTGGCACTATCAAAACCGACCTCACGATGCCAGAGGAAAGCAGGTCCCGCGCAGAAGAGCAAATGCAGCATGCCTGCCCGAGAAGGTGCTACCGGCTCTGTCTACACGGAGCGTTCCTCCCTGGCTAGAGCACTGTCCTTCTCGGCAAAGCCTTGCTACACTTGGCTCTCCACCAGAAGGGGCCGGGATATAACTTCTCCCCTCCCTACACGGAGCCTCGTCTTGCCAAAGCATTCTAGAAACTTAGCTCAGTACAGATTGCTGAGCTCTTTGTTCTTCCTCCAGTGTGAGACGGTGGTTGGCCTGGGTCCTGGTGCTAAGCAGAGGGAGAAGGTCAGGCCGTTATCCCGGGCCTGTAACCATCTGTGTCGCTCTCGGCCCGCTGGAAACAGATGGCACGCTCCAAGGGGCTCAGCGGGCACGAATGTGACGAGGGCGCTGCGGACAGATGTGTGGGGAGGCAGAAGGGAACAGCAGAGCAAGGACATGCCGGGGACTAGGTAAAGGCGGGTGCCTTGCCCAGCCCTAGAGCCCAGAGGCCAGGGAGCGGGCGATGTTGCGAGAGCCCAGTGAGAGCCGAAGCCATGGGGAATGCGAGGCTCAACGGGAGACGGAGCCATAGAGTCATCCGGCCAGATTTAAGGCGAAAAGGAGAAAACTTGACATCGAGAGTCACCACACACTCAACCCTAAACCAAAACAAAATGATGGTGGCAAAACTAGGAGGGGCCCTTTACTCACATGTCACCCTGAGAGAAAAAGATTTGAGTTCGCATCTCTGCCCCTCTGTCCCCAGCACAGCACCCGGTCCAGCTGCCGAAGCAAAACTAGGAGGGGCCCTTTACTCACATGTCACCCTGAGAGAAAAAGATTTGAGTTCGCATCTCTGCCCCTCTGTCCCCAGCACAGCACCCGGTCCAGCTGCCGAAGCAAAACTAGGAGGGGCCCTTTACTCACATGTCACCCTGAGAGAAAAAGATTTGAGTTCGCATCTCTGCCCCTCTGTCCCCAGCACAGCACCCGGTCCAGCTGCCGAAGCTAAACTAGGAGGGGCCCTTTACTCACATGTCACCCTGAGAGAAAAAGATTTGAGTTCTCATCTCTGCCCCTCTGTCCCCAGCACAGCGCCCGGTCCAGCTGCCGAAGCTGAGCTCTGTGCCTGATCCTTGTTCTGACAGGGCGAGAAAGCAGAAGGCAGAAGAGGAAGGGGCTGCTGCTCCATGCAGGGGGGATCAGAAAGGAGACAGGGGAGTCAAGAGTCATAGCCACGTTTCCTCCAGCCGCTGGTGTTCTCCCAGAGCCCCAGCAAGAAGCCTTGGGAACAGCGTGTTAGGTGCTGGGTTCTGCAGGCAGAAGAGCAACAGTGGCATCTACAGGGCAGCCAGGTGAACTTGGCCGGGGAGGCGGGGAGGAAGGTTAGGGAAAGCGCCGCCTTCAAACACGCCCCACAGTGGAGACGTCAGCGGGCCGGCAAGCCGGCCTCTTCTCTACACACCTGCAATGACAGGCGTGTGCACAAGTGCAAGCCACCTTAAACAAACCCATAGGGCCAGGCCAGTCGTGGCTCAGCGGCTAAGCATCGACCTAGGGGACTGGGGTTCGATTCCCGGTCAGGGCACATGCCCTGGTTGCAGGCTCGATCCCCAGTCAGGGGTGTGCAGGAGGCAGCCGATCAATGATTCATCATTGATGTTTCTCTCTCTTCCTCTCCTTTCCTCTCTCTAAAATCAATAAAGATATTTTAAAAAAGAAAAGTGGGCTGCAAAATAGATAAGACTGACCTCGAGCTATCACCCCTAGCTGATGGGCACATGATACCCCTCTCTCTACATTAGTATGGGTATGAAATCGTCAACAAATGGTTTTTTAAATGAAGTGTCTTGGAAATACCTGGAAGAAACAGGCCACACTCTCCAAATCTTATTACTGAGCCAGCGTCAGGCGTCACCCCTCGGGCACTATTTTCTCAGGATGGTGGCCTTTCCTCTCTCCCACTGCCCTCCTCCCAGGGCTGGTGCCGATTTAAGCCTATATCAGGGAAAACATCTTCGGTGGCAAAACACTGGTTTGAAACCAAAACGAAAACGAGAGAAAAGCAAGAAAAACAAGCCAAACGAGTGCACACTCGCCAGTCCCTGGGCTCCGTCCCGGGTCAGAGCGCCTGTGAAGTTACTCTTTCCAATGAAAAAAAACACAACGGGCTCACACTTCTCTTTTCCTAGCACTGCCTTAGGCCCAGGACCACGGGAAATACCGAAGGACAAAGACGCCGCAGAGGGGCCAGCAGGCAGCGGGGTGAAGTTGTCCTCGGGCC